TCATGCGGCCAAGCCTTAACACTGACAGTTTTAACAAAGTTAAAGTTAGCTATTCCAAGTTCCTTCAAATACCCTAAATCTATCTCCGTTAGGTTTACCAAAGCAGGATCATTCAGGGGTACAGGAGTCAGCACGGTAACCTGGTGTCCTCTCAATGATAACTCCCTCCAAATAGGTTGGAAGACAACCTGGTGGCTGTGCGATGGCATTTGAAACACGCACAATATTTTGGCGCATTGCGAAGTATTCACAACACCGCACACAACTATAAATATAAGTAAACTTCTCGGTATCATTTTCTGTGGCTGACTGGGTCGTTGTACGATGAACGCATCTAGCGTGCTAGTATTCGACTGCATCTGGTGACCCGATATTGAATTAAGTTTTTCAAGGTCGCAATTCAAACACTTGCGCTTTATCACTTTATTCAAAACGTATACTCATGGAGATAGCAACAGTTTTTCTAAAATCATTTGCTTAAAGATAGATTTTTTTCTAATGATGATTTAGCTGTTTTACGCAGTTATTAATATTTTAATAATAACCACAAATGAAATATTAAACTTTATTGTACGCAATATATTTTTCTGTTTTAAATTGATAAGCATCTTATGTTCTGGAACATTACACAATTTAGGAAGTAAGCGAAAAGGTTGTTGCATAATGCATATTTATGGAAAATTCTTAGAATCTGCCAAATTGATTTATTTTTCTTTTGAGTAGGTATACCTAATATACCTGAAAAATCAATTTAAATAATTTGACTATATACTTCTAATGCAATTAATTTTGGGTAAGATTGGGTCAAAATATTATTACTGGAACGTTACACGTTAAAACTGTGGAAAATTTAGTACCTATCTACAAATTCATCACTACTATAGTGGTTATATATACATAACTACTTAAAATGTTAATACAACAATTTCTTTTTATTTATTATTACTTTAAAATAAGTACCAGTGGCGACTTGTGAGCAGTGTTGTAACAGTTACAATATTTTCAGTATCTAGCTACAGTTACAATTACTTACCGAAATTTGTAACTAGATACAGATACAGATACATATTTTATTGCAGTAACTAGTTACAGATATAGTTACCTTCAAAAAGTATCTAGATACTTTAAGATATTGAAAACGTCTTGGTAAGTAAAATGGCTACATTTACATATTGCTTTAAAACTTCTAAAAATTATTTATTTTTGCCCATTAATGCAAATCAATAGTCAAAACTTCTTGGCAAGTAAAACCCTGCTGTCTGAAGCCCTTGTGTTATAGGTGGGTATCAGGGTCAGAGACCAGGGTATCCCTCGGGCTATCAATTATTTTCTCGGAAAACACCACAAAAAACGACACCAAATTCACCAAAAAAAAATGAAAACCAACACTGCACACTACTTTGACTTGTCACTTGATTTGTTGAACGTCGAACTGGAACATGAAAAAGAAAAACCGCCACGATTAGTAATAGCATTCAATCAAATTCAACATACTTACAAGAAGCAAAAATGGCATGGGATTTTTGCAATTGGCATTTAGTTACGAGTTATTTAAGAATTGAAGAGGCAGACATACCAGCGCTTGGTGAAATAGAAAAAAGCAGCATAAAGATCACATAGCGTAACTTATAAGATGGTGCCGATTTGATGATTTCATTGCATTATGGGAAATGTGCGGGTAATTTGATTTAAAAACTTTCGCTGGGTTATTTTAAGGTTATTTTGTCTTAATACTTTATTTTTAAAAAACATGTTTGTTTATAATGTTTTTATTATAAATAGATATTATTAATTGTAGGAAAATAACCAATCTACAAGAATGTCAGATATTTATTTAATCAGTTACCCATCGTCGTTGTCAAAACTCAAAATTTTACATGTTGTTTCTATTACACAAAAATAAGATGGAACCTAATTATATCTTACTATGATGTCGCTGATTATGGGACATAATTTCGATTTTGACTTAAACGGCGGTATCAGGCATTTATAAGATGTCTTTAGAGCATTTAATGAAGATATCTTTAAGACGTCTATCAAAATACGTCTGTCAGACGTCTCTTTTAGATTTTCAGACGTTCAGGCATAATACAGACATACAAAAGACATCTTCAAGATTTTGTGTGCTATCTGGAAGCAATCTTATATATTATGGATATAAATTTTCATATAAGACAAATAAAATATCAGAGCAATCGAAATACCCTCTAACTGAACTCTAATGGGGTAGTTAAATTTTTTCTGACCTATACTTTTTATGGTTTTATTCAATGCGTTTTGTAATATTTAACATTTCTGTGAAATCAGAATTTCAATTGAGTTTACCGTTTTCGAGATATTTACAAAAAATATAAATTTTTATGACGTCACAAACCTCGCCATGTGACCAACATTCTAAGATTTCTATTGGTTGAAAATTACCCTGTTGTCAAGTTGTCTTGTTAATGATTTCATTCGGTTATGTCAGAAAATACCCGAAGAGGTTATGTACAAATACTGTCACTGTCAGTTGAGTGAAAGATGGTCACCAAATTCATTAAGTACCTATCTTCCTTATTACGAGGTATATTACTGTTTGATATTTTAGAGTCCAAGATATATCTAAAAGAAAATAAAGAAATAGGCATTATACTAATGAAATGCATTTACGACAAAATATGATTATAATTATAGGTACCTACTTACTTTATTTGTTTCAAAGCTCCTATGTTCCATGTAAGTTACATGATGTAACCAACCATTCCACAAGATTCCTCTGCTTTGGAGTCCGTTCCACAAGATTCCTCTGCTTTGGAGTCCGTTATTAATAAATCACTTATCTAATATCAATTACAAATAACATAACAATAACATTGATTTTCAATAATCTAAATTTAAAAAAAACATAATCCCAAAAAAAAAGAAACGTCAAAAAATCATAACGTGGCGCCATCTATCGTAAGAATCTTAAACTAAATACACTGGCAACCATAGAAAAAGCTGGCAACGTTGTCAATAGCCTAGTGACGTAATTAGGAGATTTTTTTTTGTAAATATCTCGAAAACGGTAAACTCAATTGAAATTCCGATTTCACAGAAATGTTTAAAATTACAGAACGCCTTGAATAAAACCATAAAAAGTATAGGTCAGAAAAAATTTAACTACCCCATTGTTTTTGATGCGGCCTAATAAAATACAATGTCAACAGAATAAGCTTTGTTTGTTTATGGCCCCCTTGGTCTTCTGATTTGTCATCATGTGATTTTATTTATCGTGTGTACAAAAATAAGCCAGCACGTTAGACAAATTAAAGGATTTAACCCGTCAACAAATCACTGGGAGATAGTCGATACCAATTTCTGAGAACGGCTTCTTGATGTGTTAATTATATCAACTTGATGTTAATAGGCATCATATGCCAAATTTAATTTTTTGCACATATATGTTTATATACACTCACAGGCAAAATAATCGATTCACACAAATTTTCCATGAATTTCAATCGCAAATAACTTTTTTATTTGATGTCGGATTTAAACGAATATTAAAGAATATTGTAGATAAATTAATGGATAATCGCTCACATTTTAAAAAATTACTAAAAAATAGACGTACGTTTATAATATACAGGTCTAAACAAAAAGATGTTTTTTACCATATGTTTAAGTCACTCTGTAGAGTGGCAAAACCGTATATTGTTCTAAATTAACTTTTATTTATCATAGTTATTGTATTAGATCATAGATGGCGTAAAGCACGCTATATGTCCCGTACAGATAATGTCATGACATATAGAAGACCGCGTTGAAAAACGATAGATGGCACCATTGTGCAGGCAAATTCTCTTCTCACCGCTTTTGAACTATTCCTTTCCAATATAAGGAAAGGAAGTAAAGATTTCGTTTGGGTCTCAAGCCTATAGCAACTCGGCACTGATGAGTTCCACAAGAACGAAACGCGTCTGTCGATGCTGGCACGAGATCCGAACGAAATTAAACAAAAGCGGTGATAAGAGAAATACTTGCAGAATATTTAATTAATTTTATTTATCAAGTCATGTGCACTTCTATTTTTAACAGTTTTGTTTTTGGTTCACCTTGATATATTTATTTTTGTGGCAAATATGGATTTTTTAAAAAAACATTGCAATTTCCAATATTTTTCTGTATGAAAAACTAAGGTTGCTATGGTCCATCCATAGGCTATGGAGAATGACAGTGACAGTTTTGTTGAATCATCCCATACTTTGACATGTTATACACGGCTTTCAAAAGCTATCAAATTGTTTTTTGCAAATTAATGTTTAAATTTTGAGGTGTCTTCTTACTTTAAAAAATGTATATGTCTCCGACCACGGCGTTCTCTATCTATAAAGAACGCCGTGCTCCGACTGATGTTGCCAGAGCCATTAATTTAATCCAGGATGGACGGTCACAGTATTACGTGGCCAGTGTTTTAAACGTCACAAGAAGTAAAGTACAAGGGGCAAAATCAGTCGGAGACATTTTTAAAAGTAAGAAGACAACTCAAAATTAATACATTAATTTACAAAAAACAATTTGATAGCTTTGAAAGTTGTATATGACATGTACAAGTATGGGATGATTCAACAAAACTGTCACTGTCATCCATAGGCTATGGATGGACCATAGCATAGCTTAATTTAGAACAATATACGGTTTTGCCACTCTATAGAGTGTCTTAAACTTAAAGTAAAAAACATCTTTTTGTTTAAACCTGTATATTATAAACGTACTTGTATTTTTAGTAATTTTTAAAATGTGAGCGATTCTCCATTAATTTATCTACAATATTCTTTAATATTTGTTTAAATCCGAAAACAAATAAAAAAGTTATTTGCGATTGAAATTCATCGAAAATTTGTGTGGATCGATTATAGTGCCTGTGAGTGTAGTTTAGGTTAAATGCTATGTTCCAACAAATATTATTCAAGCAATTTATTTTTTTAAAGCAAAAATTACGGTATCAAAATCATTTTACTAGAAATTCTGAAAAATGTTAATTATTCCAAGTATGTGTATAATTAATTAATTTATTATTCTGCTTTGTTTCAGAAATGAGAGTACAACCTTTTGTCATCATGTTTTTTCGGATGAAAACCCCGTAAATAATTTATAATGGAAAACGGTAGCTGTAAAGACGAGCCTTTCGGTAATTACACCACATTTTTCGGGCAAAGCGATGTTCCGGAATGGGAAGCATTTTTTACAATCGGCACTTTATCCGTTATTATACTGCTCACAATCATCGGCAACATTTTGGTGAGTTTATTAAGCTAGATATAACTGTCGTATCCTTGAAGCAACTTTCCCGAAACTTTGCAGGAAGCCCTTGGGTCTTAATAAAAAGCTTTTTAAGTTTGTACGTACAAGGTGGCCCATATACTTATCTCAGAAACTACTGGAACGAGAAATATTCACGAAGTAAAAAATATTTTAAAAATATTATATTTTCATTTATACAGGGTGTTCGGTTTTCCGTGGGACGATACCAACTTTCTTATTTTCAATGGAACAAACTGTATTTTTTGCATTTTTAGATTCTACACACTATTTTACTTTGTAAATATATTAATTAGGAAAATGTTAATACTTTTTGGGTTTTCCCAAAGAGAAAGGAAGGTAATTTATTAATAACAGTAAAGTAGAAAATTAATTTTGTGGATTTTCCAATTACCTTAGATATATTTTTATTTTTTAAATAAATAAATTAAAATAACAACAAATAAAAATGCTCTTAAATATAAATATTTATTATTATTATAGGTATAGGACATATATATATATATAAAAAGAAAGGAAATTACTTATTCTATCCAATTATGTAAAAATATATAGGGTGTTCCATTAAAAAAAACAAGATTTTAAACTTTTAAAATCGCTATTTTCAACGGAGCATAGAAAACACCCTGTATAATATTTAAAAAAAAATTAACTTATAGCTTGGTTAAAAGAGATGAATACCACATAAATAAAAAAATAATAAGTTTTAGTTGGTTATTTTTAACTGTTAGCGAATGTCTACATTTAGTAAAAAGTATTAAAATTTTCCTAATTAATATATTTAAAAAGTATACCTAAAATAGTGTGTAGAATCTAAAAATACAAAAAAATACAGGGTGTTCCATTAAAAATAAAAAAAGTGAATATTTCTCCCTCACAAATTTTTTGTGGACCACCCTGTACAAAGCAACATTGCGAATAAAACATTACAAGAAACTTATGATATCATAGTTTGCAAACTTATGATATCATAGTTTGCAAATTGCAAAAACATTTGATTTAACTTAAGATCAATATTTTAGATAGAACATTGCACAAAACTTAGGCCTGTAATATTAAAATTGTAATGTTTAAAAAATATAGCAAATTTAGTGTTTAATTTTACACAGTAAAAAAAATCAACTCTAAGCAACACTAATTAGAGTTCACACAGGTCCACACTAATAGTGTTGTTTTATAACACTACAATGAGAGTTAATTTGACACTATAGCACTGAGGATAAAGTAATTTTACACTGTATTAAAAAGTGTTAATTTACCTAAAATTGTGTACTTCTACACTTCCTGGGTAAAATCCCACTTTTTTTTAGTGTAAATTACGTAACACTACTTTGGAAAAGTTCTAATTTTAGAAAGGTACTTTTACTCTTTTAGTGCAAACTTCTAGTGTAAATTAACACTATTATTTGAGTAAAACCTATTGGTGGTAGTGAATAAAACGAAAAGGTAAATAAACATTTATTTGGAACAAAAATCTATGACAATTATCAAAATCGGTGCCTTTTAAAATATAATTTTATATTTGAGTCGTATGGCTGGGTTAAGCAAAATGGTTCCTTAAAACGTAAAAGTTTTACTGGCTGTCAACTTGTAAGCAATGAATTATCTTGAGAATTCATCAGTTATTCATTTTTCTGTTATAAAAAATGGGTGATCCCATTGGTAGAGAGGCGTCAGGCGGCTGTATGTCGGGGATTTACCACACGTGTAAAAAAATTTCCATAATATTTATAAAAAGTAGGTATAGGTTAATATAACAACCATTACGCTTGAAAATAAAAAGTAAATAAGGTGTGTATGTATTTATATTATTAATGTTACAAGAACCCGACCTACTGCCGTAAATTATTGATATATAATATAGGTCGGGTATGGACATCTTTTTAACATATTGGTATTTATTGAGTATTAAGGCTTAAAGAAAAAGGAAGTATAATACTTACCAAAAAATAAGAATGTCCTCTTATGGATTCACCGTAATTAAAATCTAACTGAACAAAAATGCCACACTTCCACAACGCGGTATCCCAACCAAACATTTTAAAACGCATTTCAGTTATTACCAGTTTTTTCAGTCTATTTTCGTCACTATTTAACACATTAAGGGGTAATGAACACTCGCATTAAGTTTTTCTACCCTTTTGATTTATTTTAATAATAAATAGTGTGAATGTACCAATGAATAATGTTCATATTCTTTAAATGTGTTTAAATGCTAAATGCTACCTAGTGTATTTTGTAGTGTAACTTTTACACTTACAAATCAACTCTAATATTTTTACCCCTACACTAAAAAATTTACACGGGCAAAATTTTTTACTGTGTACATACTAAGCAAAATTGAAAAATAATGTCATGTTTACCCAATATTTGAAAATAAATTTTGATATTTTATATTTAAAGCAACATTTTTTCTTTGAATCTAAAATTAATATTTTAGCTAAGATTGCACCAAATTTATACTTATACTTATACGTCCTGTAATGCTTTAAAAATGTTGCAAAATAAATGTTTATTTTTACATACTAAGCAACATTGCAGAAATAATCTTAATGTTATATTTCAGATGAAACTTTACACAAAGCTTATACCTATCTTTAATATTATAATTGCAATATTTCAGATAAAACATTGCACAAAACCTGGGCCTTCTATATATTTTTTTTAATGTTTTAAATTAAATGTTTATTTTTTACATTCAAAGCCAAATTGCAAAAATAATCTTAGCGTTATGTTTCCCAAATATTGCCAAACTTATACTTATAAATTATAAGTATAAGTTATAATTATACTTATACCTATACTAAAATTATAATTCTTTAAAAATGTTGCAAATTAAATATTTATTTTTACATACCAAGCACCTTTGCAGAAATAATTTTAATGGTATATTTCAAATGAAACATTACACGAAACTTATATCTGTAATATTATAATTGCAATATTTAAAAATCATGGCACAAAACTTGGGCCTTCTTTATTATTTTTTTAAGGTTTCAAATTAAATGTTTATTTTTTACATACATTGCAAAAATAATCTTAATGTTATGTTTCCCAAATATCGCAAAATAAATTTTTCATTTCAATCTAAAATTAATAGTTTAGATAAAACCTTGGACAAAACTCACGCCCGTATTAAAATTTTAGTTTTGAAAAAACATTGCAAATTATTAAGATTTATTTTTAAATTACAAAGCAAAAATAATCTGAACCCATTTCAGACCTAACATGCTAAGTATGAACGCGCGATTTGTGTGGTTATAACCACTTAAAACACTACTTAAAACGGAGCTCACTGAACTCATTTGTATACAAATATATATATATATATATATATATATATATATATATATATATATATATATAAACTACTCAAAACGAATTAAGGACCACTTTTAAAATTGTTTATAACTTTTAAATATACATTTTTTAATTTTATTTTCTAACTAGTGTTAGTTTTGGGAAACATTAAGATTTTAAATCATAAAAATACTATAACCAATATGCAAAATATTATGCTGTTTAAAGTATAGCCAACCTATAAAATCAAAATTTTGGGGGGTATAAAGTATCTCATTACAGCACCGAAAGCGGTGTTATAATGAAGTCATTATGAACGCAAAATAGATAAAATTATTTTTGAATAACATTATAAACTTATTATAAAGATAAGTGATGTTAAACTTGTTGAATGTGGTAATCTTAACATTGATTTTGCAAAACAAAAAAATAGCAAGAAATTATTTGCTGATATTATGATGTCTTATAATCTAAATCAAACAATATTTACCTACACTATAGTGTAGAATAACAAAACACTCTAGTGCAATCGTTGATAATTTATTTGTAAATAATATTTACTAAATATAGAACACTTTAAGAGCTTTGTTATCTTCAATTCAATTTCAGATCATTCCTGTCAAGTCCTAAATAAGTCCTAAATAAAACTTTTTAATTAATAAATTAAATACTGGTAATAAAAAAATAATTAAAACTATAAGCAAAGCCAGACTAGATATGTTTTGTTGCATACTTAATGTTTATATTTTGCATACAAAGCAACATTGCTGAAATAATCCTAATGTTATATATTAGATGAAACATTACATGAAACATATTTCTTTAATATTATAATTGCAATGTTTAAAAATCTTCCCAAATCCCAATTGTCTAAGAATATATTTCTTAAATTAGGTATTTTATTTTTTCAGGTGGTATTAAGTGTATTTACCTACAAACCGTTACGAATAGTCCAGAACTTCTTCATCGTATCTCTAGCGGTAGCAGATCTGACAGTTGCCATTTTGGTGCTGCCTTTTAACGTCGTTTACTCCGTGCTGGGAAGATGGACCTTTGGAATGGACGTATGCAAGATGTGGTTAACTTCGGACGTCCTATGCTGCACTGCATCCATCCTAAATCTGTGCGCCATTGCACTAGACAGGTAAGCCGGTGTAAATAAATCATTGGCTTTAAGTTTAGTTTTCTCGACAATGCCTAAGCTTGAAATATATAATGTAACAGTCCCAGTCAGTCAGTTTGTTGTTTTAGGACTTGGGGAGTTGATAAGGTACCGTAAACACAAGTGGCTTTGCACCCCGCGGGTGTCTTTAACCCTTTTATGAAAAATATTTTCGCGCTCCACACACATAAAAAAGATTATTTTTAAAACAAATAAAATACTATTGTTCCAAGCAAATCTTAGCTTTCCATATACACAAATAAATGTTTTTTTCTTACAAGAAATTTATTTATTCGAATTGTAATGTTAGGTTGAATCACTAAAATTCTTAAATTGAAATTCGTCAATTTGCGGTTAAACTTTGTTAATTCTTATTCTGTAGCTATTACAACTTTGATTTAAGACTATGTTTTCTTAAAAAAAGCAGACATATTTTTGTACTAAAAAATCGTATTTTTAATTTGAAAAGATAAAGTGTTAAAGTAAAACCATGATATTCTTAAAATAAACCCTATCGGTTCATATGAAATTCATTTTAATTTTTACAGTGAAAATATAAAGCTGTTGTTTTCCAAATGATTATAATACTGTTCTTTCTCCCTTCACAGGGATGCTTTTTCTGTAACTTGTTTGTTTGTTTCGTGTTTCTAATAGAAACTTTCTATCTTGGGTAGAGTGCAAAACCTGCAAAAAAAATTGCAGACAAATATTCTTGGTAACCTAACACTAACACCTACCACAATTTCACCACCGTTAATTACACCGAGAACTTGCACCGGTATACCGTCATATAAAGAAGGACGCTACGCTGAGTCAAGACGAAGGGGATGGTACTTTAGCGCATGCGTGGGTTTATTTAAAACAAACATACTCTTGAATCAAATATATTTTCTTGATTTAAAAATTGAGAATTTTTAAAGAAACCATATAACTATTCAAAATAAAAATTATATTCTATCTGAACAAATACATTTTGTCGTTGAAAATGTTCGCCCGAAAAAATTGTTGAATCAGTTCAAGAATAAATTTTCTTTTCATTCAAACATTTTCTTATTCTTATGTTAAGTTGTTAAAAATTATTCCAAATGAAACCGTTATGTTCCAGTTAAAAAAATAATTTAAAGAAATAACATTTTCCCAGTAATCTTAGCGTTTTTCTCCAAGTAAAAGCATAGTCTTAATTAGAACTTTTTGTGTTTTGAATGAAGTAAACATTTTGAAAACAATAATTCTTCTTGAAATGAAATTTTATTTTTCTGTGTGCAGTGTTTCAATTCTCGAAATTTTCGGCAAAATATCAAGGAGTAGTCGGATTCTCCTAAAAATCCGTATAAAGAGGTTTTTGGGGTCGCTGATAACGAATCTGGAATCAGAATTCCAAAATTCAAAATGGTAGATCCAAAATGGCGGACATATTTGTCAAAAAATTGACGGAATAAATTAAAAATCACCATACAGGGTTTTTGGGGTCGCTAATAACGAATCTGGAATCAGAATTCCAAAATTCAAAATTGTAGATCCAAAATGGCGGACATATTTGTCAAAAAATGGACGGAATTAATTGAAAACACCATACAGGGTTTTTTTGTGGTCGCTGATAATGAATCTGGAATCAGAATTCCAAAATTCAAAATGGTGGACCTCAAATGGCGGACAGTTTTATCAAATATTGTCGAAATTAATTAAAAACCCGTAAGAGGTTCTTTTTATAAAATAGCTTAATTTATTTTATTATAATTACATTTATATGATATTATTTAATATCTCCGTCACTGGATTCGCTCGTTGTATCAATAGCAGGGCATGGGAAACAATCAGAAGATAGCAACAGTTTTATTGCTTCGCGGGACAAAGATTTGCTCTTTTTCGGAGCAATTTTTCTGAAGCTATAACATACAACCTACAAGAGGTGGGTTAAATATGTAAAATCGGTGTTAAATATCTTAGTAGTCACAAACGATTTACGCAAGTGAAAGTCTAGACACCGCTGTTGTAATAAACGTTCTGATTTAAATCCGAGTGAATCGAGTAAACGTCATGAAAGCAACCCAGAAATAAAAAAATCTTATACCCATTTTGTATAGCAAAAACACAGATACGCGCTCGACTTAGGCTTAAAATCGCGATTTTTTTTACCACAACCGTGCCTGAGCGCCCAAGAACATAGTAGTTTTAGTAGTTTTAAATAGCCGGGGGCAAGTTGGGGCAGATAATGTATTGATGGCTTGATAGACAAAACTCTAAGCTATTCAACGGATCTTGAACTGATGCCTTACAATTAATTACAATTTTTGTAGCTCCATTGTTCTAAAAGCTCGATTAAAAGTTGTACAAGCAAAATCTACAAAAAACAAATACATATCTGAATTTTAGATACCCTTCATCAAACCGCATAACAATCGGACACACCAAACACAAGTTATTCACTTTTAAACAATAAACAATTTTCCACAGCGATCAACTGAAAGCGTCAAGTATAAACTGATGTACAAGACAAAATATACGTATTTTATATGATTTTGTTTCAATACAGGATGGAGACAGGTATTAACTACCCATCTAACTCAAAATTTACCTGAAAAAAAATGTCAATTTTTGAGGTTTTGCCGATATTTTCCAGAATTGAAACACTGTGCGCGCTCGATAAAATTAACATTTATAATTTGTTGTATTATTTGTAATAAAAATAAAATAAAATATTGAGTTAATTTTTTTTTTAATTTTTGTTTTTGAAACTCAGCCCTATGTACGATTATAACATAGTTATTATGAAAGAGCAACTCAAGACTCAAATTTTGGTATACAATATTTAATGTTTACGATTGTTAAAACCACAAAAATGTTAAGATTAAGTTTGTGAAGTGAGCTAAAGCCACCCGTGTTTACGGTAATTTTTTTTGAAATTTTCAAGGTCTCGCGTTTTTGGAGCACTTCAGAATCTAAATAATAAAATATATTATTTAAAAATATGTTTGCATTTTTATCACAACTTTCCATTTTAACGCTAAGGCAAAGACTAAACAGAAATAAGAAACTATAAACACGCATAGATCTAATTAATAAGCTTTGTTTACTAAAACATTCCACGCCCCGCGGATAAGCGAGCCGCACAGATCTCGAGACTGACTCTGCTGTCTTCCATATAGGTACTGTGGTACAAGCCCAACTTTGTGGGCCTCAATGTCTACAAAAATTCGCGTATTATCCCCGCCTTGCGGGGGTGCCGGCGGCACCGTGCAGCGGTGAGGAGCATGATGTTGTATCGGCAATGTGTGACGTATATGAAGCGCAAATTTATGGGATTACTATTTCCCTATTATGCGGTTGGGCAATGATTTAAGCGTTTACAATTAAAGTTGAAAGGGGTGTGCGCTAAATTTAAAGGAAATATTTTAAACTTTGATGGTTATTCTATGTTTTGATACTTTTAATGACTGGAAATTAGTTTTAAAACGTTTTATATTTAAATAAGTAATGTATCGAAAATTTCAAATTATTTTATAATAAAGTTCATTTCCATTAAACGTACCTGCATTTCTGAAGAAATTACGGGTTCTTTGGATGAAACGCCATAATGCTTAAGAATATTGTATAAATCGTCGGCCTTATCACGAAGTCGCCTAACTCACAAAATTGAAAAACAAAATGAGATTTTTCGCATATTAACTTCTGATGAACTATTGTATTCTCACGAAATGGCCTATGTATTTTTACAGCACAGACTTTGTACTATGGCCCACCTCGTGGAGTAATAGAATAGACCATCGTAAGTTAGCTCTCTCAAAATGTCACTGTTTTCAATTTTGTGGTTTAGGCCACTTCGTGATAAGGCCGACTATTTATATAATATTCTTAAACGTTATGCCATGTTTTCATGGAAGCAAAATTAATTTGTAAGAACCGTATGTACACAGTGGAGGCAAATTTAAAACTTTATAAGACACTGTAAGTGCACGAGAAGACGCTTCAAGAAGCGTTCCCCCACTCCAAAAATTGCACTTTCCAAACTAAGCACAATTGCCCATTAACTTTGATATTTTTGCCACAAACTTATTATATTTGTTGCAAATAATGAGGTTTTCGCAAAAATTGTAGTAGATTTATTATAAGTTTTATCTATTTCAGTTAACCCATTAATAAATTTTAGTGGAAAATATTGCACGTTTTATGAAAACCCACCTAAATTTAATTCAAACGTAAAAACCCCAATATTATTGACTATCAGTACAAAGTTTGCATAGAACTTAATAATATTCCAAGCAAACACAGCAGCCTAAGCAAAAACACTAATTTTGAATTAAACTTCAGTTGTTTGATTCAAAGCAATCAGGCTCAAACAATTGCAACGTTTGTTAAAAATATTCTTTTCTATAGAAAACATTTTTTCCGTGTACTGCGTGTATTACAAACGTGCTTTTCTTTCCAGGTTTTGGGCAATAACCGACCCAATTAACTACGCTCAAAAACGCACGTTAAAAAGAGTTCTGCTCTTGATTGCCGGCGTGTGGTTGCTCTCCTTGCTAATAAGCTCGCCACCCTTGATCGGATGGAACGATTGGCCGGACACCTACGCAGAGTTCGAAAAAAATCAGGAGTGTTCGTTGACGCGTCGTCAAGGCTACGTCATTTACTCCAGCTTGGGTTCGTTTTTCATACCGCTGTTCATCATGACGATTGTGTACGTGGAGATTTTCGTCGCGACTAAAAGGAGATTGAGGGAGAGGGCGCAAGCTTCAAAAATCAACACCTTGTCGAAAAATCAGGCCACTGTCAACGAAGCGCAGCCGGATAATGTTTCAGTGAGTAGCGAGACGAACCACAACGATCTAGCGGAGAGAAACGGCAAGTTGAAAACGAAAAAGAAGAAGAAACACCCCAATGTGGAGAGCAATGAAGCTTCCGTGCACTTAAAGCCGATATTGATCCACGAAGATTCGCTCACGGATAATCCAGAATCTTCCTCATCGCGGAAAAACTCCATACCATGTACTTCAACCATCGCAGCGTGCCCTTCCACGATCGTAAAAATCAACAACGAAAAGCAACCGCAACCGAAAGTCGTCATAAACGACAACAAAAAAGGTTTCGTGTCGCAGTTTATAGAGGAAAAGCAGAGGATCTCTTTGTCGAAGGAGCGCAGGGCCGCAAGGACCTTGGGCATCATAATGGGGGTGTTTGTCGTTTGTTGGCTCCCTTTCTTCCTCATGTACGTAATCCTGCCGTTTTGCCCGACTTGCTGCCCATCCAGAAGGCTCATCAACTTCATCACCTGGCTGGGTTACATAAACTCCGTTCTAAACCCGATCATCTACACCATCTTCAATTTGGATTTCAGAAGGGCGTTTAGAAAACTGCTGGGGTTAAGACCTTAGACAGTAATTTGGAAAACAATTTAAATGATTTTACCTGCACTGAAAAAAAATATTTTTTTATCAAATACCTACATTTATTTGATTCAAGACAAGCTTTGTCTCATATATAACGGAGAGAATATATTCTTTAAAATGGTAAAGTCTGTGGGTAAAAGGCATAAGGGGATAAGTAAAAAAAAAGCAATTTTTTGGTAAAGACTTAAACGTGTTCGCATTAATTCAGAAAATATATTTATGGTTAGCGAGCATACCATTTTGCTGGCATATGACATGTCCTGGCAAAAGGATATACCCGCTAACCATAAATGTATTTCCTAAATTAATGCGAACCCGTTTAAGGCACTACTAAAAAATTGATTGTTTTGACTTATCCCCTTATGCCTTTTACCCACAGAAGTATTTTCTTAATTCACGTTGATTTACTTCAAGAATCTTTTTTTAATGTAAGAAAATTTCGATTGTGTAAGAGCAAGAATATAAAATTTAAAAAAAAGGCAGCAATATTTAAGTAGGTACTTAATTCAAGAATAGTACATTTCGTAACAAGTTTGGATTCCAAACGTGTTTCAGACATTATTTTCTCTAGGACTACGTAAGAATAGTAACGCTTACATTAATTTTAAACAGAGAAAAGAAACCAAGCAGTTTTTGACATTTAAGTTTTTTGTATTGTCAAACCATTTTGTGCCGTCACAATTTTATAATGTAAATTATAATAAATATAAACAAATGGTATGCCTAAATCTTTATTATAATTAAAAATAGTTATTTACACTAACTAATAAAAAAAATAACATTGTAACAAATACAAAACTAATTTTATCTACTCCTACATTGACGAGCTGTAACTTTATGGCGTTTTATTGACGGGCTGAAGTTAACAACAGTGGCTTTTCGACATTTTACGTCACAGGCTGAAGTTAGCTTTATTATAAATTGGGAAAAAGTGAGGTTAAATTCGGGTGACAGTTGACAGATGTCAAAATTTTAACAAATAAAATTGGCTTTAAATTCTGTTTTGTAGTCGTCGTAGATAAAGTATAGTATGCAAGTTTATAAACGAGTTGCATAATGCAACTCGTTTATAAACTTCTCTAGACACTTGTTTTTATTAAACACTCGCTCGCAAGCTTCGCTCGTGCTTAATTAAACTCGTAACTAAAATGGCGTTTATAAAACTTGATACATAATATACTATTACAAGTAATCTATGTCAACATCTATTCTTTTTCTACATTTTAAAGGTCTTTTTTTAAACTTTTTGAATCTGTCAAAACTTCAAAGCCGGTATAGTAGGTAACTGGTTTATCATTTAAATATCAAATTTATTATAATTTTGATTTGTATATTTGAAAAACAATAAATATAACTAATTTTTTGTGCCTAAACCTTAATTATACAACTGCTATTATTTTTTAATTAATTTTTTAATTAATAAATAATACAGTAATATCACTTTACTCAATGGTAATATTTAAATATTTTTAATTTTTTTACGTAAACAGCCAGGAGATGTCGTTACTTGTGACCATTCTTAAACAAGAGTAGGAATATTCTCGCACAGTATTGCAGAAAAACATCCTTTCTATGATCAAAAATTACACTAGAATGTTACTATTCTTAAGTAGTCGTAGAGAAAATGTATTTTCTTTAACCAAATATAATTGGTTATTTTAAAGCAAGAATATGTTCTTTTAAAAATAAATTGGTGGTATTCTTGAATAAAAAAGGTACTTACTTAATTCAATAATAAATTTTCTTAAAACAAAAACATGTGATATTGAAATAAGGCAATAATTTTCTTAAATCAAGATGTTTTCTATAACCCAATATTTTTTTTAATTAATAGATTTAAAGATTTAAAATTTTATTTTATTGATTACAAAATAATATTTATTTTAAAACAATGAAAAAAGTATCCTTAAACATAAAATGTATCTATTTTAATTTTAAGCTACTTTTAGCAATATTTCAAAAAATCAATCATTTTGTATTTAAAATCAATAAAATTTTAAAAATGATACGTCTATTAACTAAAAATTATTTATATTAATATTAAAAACATCTATATATTTAGGAATATTACTGCAAAAGAAATAAAATTTAAAATTAAAATACGTCTAAACACTTGAAGGGGACTGGAGTAATTTTAAATATCCTGTAATTTTTTAAGGATTGTTGTCTAATCTTAAACAAAACTTTATATTTAAAAACTTACGGATTATTCAAAATTGAGCCAAACTTACTGAAGGGCCGTAGTATCGTTTCTAGGTGATGCAGTAAGCAAAAAAATTTAGGTTAGAAAATAAAAAAAGCAAACGTTGAACAAACACATTTATTTTGTTTTTAATACAAGAAAAATCTAAAATGTATACATTATTATAAATTAACGTAGTGAACTTAGGTAATCATTATTGTCGACATATTTTTCATTTTCATATTTTAGGCATAGTATAAGCAATTACCAATTTTATAAAATAATTTAAAGCTATTGCCAATAAACTCCACCCTATATGAATCAAAATTAATGTTATACCCCAAAATAAATTATAGAGCCAAACACAAAAGATATTTTGGTTATCACTGCAAAGACTATTTATTTATAAATAAAATAATTTTAAGGCCTCCTTAATGCATATTGGTAAATATTTAAACAATAAACCTACCTACCTACACGTAAATGCGACGCTAAATTTAAAAAAGAGTGGTATATCAATAACAACTTAGGGGAGCGCCGGGAGGGTTTGGACACTGGGAGGCATTGGACACATTCATAATTACCGCCTAATTAAAGAAAGGGTGAAAACAGAAACGTAACTAAAAGCGCATTTGAACGTCCCTGATATATGTCTAGAAGCGAAGCAATCACGTCTTTTCGTTTCGCGGCACTGCCATTTTCCTATTTATCCACGTGTTCATTCCAATATTACCAGTTGTAAACTCTGCTTTTAACAAACTAATTTTGAGATTTTTTGGTTGCTTGATTGATTACCAGTATAAGGAAAACTTTAAAAATTATAGGGTATTGTTACTTTGAAAATATATATACATAATTTATAATATTTTGGGTTTTATTAATCGAACTACGTTGCGGGAGGGTATGGACGACCGTCCAAAGAAGTCGTTGTAGATAGCTATAACGTGAAATTAAAAAAAAAAACAAGTGGCTTCCAACCACAGCATTTGTGTCATATGAGGAAGTGATTTTGAAACTATCAAATCCTTTAACAGACTGAAGTGTCAGATATGGACATGATATATTTTAATGTTGATGTTACCGAGTACAGCTTACGTTAATGCTAAAGTTATTGATTAATAAACAATTTTTTATTAAATATTTTATTTGTTTTTAAAGTGTTTTTTGTCAAACAAATGTTTTTCATAATATATTTGCTTAATTATTGTTTGTCCAAACCCTCCCCATCGTTGGGGAGGGTTTGGACATAATACATTAAAAAAAATATAAGTATTTATTTCATGCCTATGTCATGTTTTTTCAAAAAACAAAAGAAAACTGTATGTAAGAGACATGTATCAGTCTGACTACAAAATTTTAGTTATTTTTTATACATGTCCACGCCATAATTATTTATTTAAATATTGTCCAAACCCTCCCGGCGCTCCCCTACTTACCTTCATTTTTTTTTATAATTTCCTTCGATGCTGACCACTCTTCTAATAATTTTTTAATGAAATACGCCCTCTTCCTAACAAAGAGAAAGAAACACTGCATGATTAGGCATAAAATTTCAGAGGAACGTGTCGGCATCTCCACTCCTACACGATTTCAAAAATATGTATTCTTGGCAAAAGAAAATACTGTTTATTAAAAAGAACAAAAAAATTTAAGAATATCTAATTCTTAATATAAAAAAATTAAACAAATAAAAAATTAGGAATATCTTATTCTTGACATAAAAAAATATTAACAATTGTACCAACTAAGATTTCCTTAAAGAATATTTAATATTTGGATTAAAACATGCAACTTTTTAAAACAAGAAATGTTTCTTAATATTAGAATATTTCCAAAACTACAAAATTCTTTTTTAAAGAAGTTAAATATTTTAAGTTGAAATATATATTCTTATTTTAAAGCAAGTTGACTTGAATTTAAAAAATATTTTCAAGATGATAGGTATTCTAAATATAAGAAATCTTTTTTTTCAGTGTGGGATACAAACTGCTGTTGACTGGTCTAAACTGTAGTATTGATATTACACAGGGTATATCATGAAATTGTATTTGTTACTCAATGTGGAAACAATATGTAGATACATGGATGTAGTTCGGTTAAAGTTCAGGTCATTTCAATATCCGGTTAATAATTAAATTGAAATTTCGTGTTGGCTTTATAAAGTTGTGCCACAGTTTGCTCGACTATATGATCAGAAATTTCCGAATAATAATTATGTAAATATGGTGATGAACTTTCTCCAAGAAATATTAAATTAATAGACTTAATATACGTACTTTTTGTGGTTTTAATATATTGCATTTCTGAGATATTTGAAACAAAATCTCCTCCATCAAATGATTTTATTGTTAATCATACATTTAAACCACTTTTTCTACTACACTCACAGGCAAAATAATCGATCCACACAAATTTTCGATGAATTTCAATCGCAAATAACTTTTTTATTTGATTTCGGATTTAAACAAATATTAAAGAATATTGTAGATACATTAAGGGAGAATCGCTCACATTTTAAAAATTACTAAAAAATACACGTACATTTATAATATACAGGTTTAAACAAAAAGATGTTTTTTACCATAAGTTTAAGACACTCTAAATTAAGTTTTAATTATCAAGTCACATCTATTTTTAACAGTTTTGTTTTTGGTTTACCTTGATATATTTATTTTTGTGGAAAATATGAATTCTTTTAAAAAAACATTGCAATTTCCAATATTTTTCCTGTATAAAGAACTAAGGTTGCTATGGTCCATCCATAGCCTATGGAGGATGACAGTGACAGTTTTGTTGAATCACC